TACATGTACGTTATCACTCAATTAGTGGAAATAAGCCCTCGTTCCTACCCTCTAGGTGGCCCACCACAAAACCATTTTAACAATAAAAACTTGTAACAGGAGAATGGAATAAGTAAACTTTATTATGGCAAAAATGTTGAGCTGTAAAGAGAAAAATGGCACAGTAGAGAGATACTAGATAGCTTTTGGTAAAGATGGTGTCATTAATAAATGGCTAATCCCAAGTCTGTGGCAGGGAGAGTAAAAAGTAGGTTTAGGACATCACGCGCCAGACAGTAAGCAAGTGCTCAAAGATTAACGGAGACGTATCAAAAGGACACAAGAGCCAGTATGAAGGGGTTTCTACTAGCCACAATTTGAGCATCAAAAGGAATAATGATTGTAATTGATTATAATACACTGAAAGAGTAAACATTCACAGCAAACTGAAAATGAGCAAAAAAAAACCAAACAAAAAACAAAAAACAACAAAAAACCCCCCACAAAACTAAAATACAAAAATAAAAGAGGGTACAATAAAAATGGAAACTCTTCTTTAGAGAAAATATCAGCTAATAAATGTAGAAAGAATAATAGAATTAGAAAATCATTAGTAAGCCCCAGTGAAGCAACTGATTAGGGTAAAGATCAGTGTTTGTTAAACTCATTAGGTGAAATTATGTTGGGTAATACAATATTTACACAGCACCAAAGTATTATCCTCCAGATTACTTAGCAATTGTAAAAGGAATAATGTCCCTTCAACAAGGAAGAGAACAAGCAGTTATCACCCTAACTAAAATTCTCAAGTTTAGCATCATTAACAGTGGGGCAAGTTAATAGTATGTGGACATAATGCAGTACAAAACATTTTAAGAAGACAGAAAAAGAAGAGTAGATCTAAAAGAAGTAGAAGAAAGAAAATAAATTTGTTTCAATGAAATTGATAGAGAATCGACAAAATAAAACTTTAGTTCTTTGAAAAATCTACTGAAAAAGACATGTATAGTAAAAACTAATTAAAAAAAAGACAAACATAAGGAATGAAAAGTGGCATCATTAGCATATGCTGCCAAAGCAAGCACAAAAGGTGGCATAATTAGAAATACAATACAGATTTTTAAAAATCACAATAAAGTTCTTTATTCCAATAAATCGGAAAACAGATAAAATGGACAATTTTTCAGAAAATGAATGCATTATCAAACTGACTCTAAAAACTTAAGAGCTGTATAAGCCAATAACTATCAAAGAAATTAAATTGGTAATTAAGTGTCCTCTTCTTAAGAGACACCAAACCCAGATACTTTCAAAGCTAGGTTTCTTGAATCTTCAAGGAACAGATCATCTTCTCATATGTTAAGTATTTAAGAAAAAAAAAGCCAGCTATTTAAAACTACTCAATTTATTTTATCAGGCTAATATGACCCTGATATCAAAACTGGAAAATGACAATATGTGACAAGTAAAAATCAATCTTACTATAAAATATGGATTAAAAAACCTAAAATATGACAAATCAATGTATTTTTTAAAAGCACAAAACAAAAACAGTAATAGTAATAATAAAACCTATGTGACCAAGAAAGATTTATGTTAAGAATAAAAAGATGGTTCGACGTTAGAAAAATCAATGTACTCTAACACAAATAAAAGGGACAGATCTTAGGGCCATTTCAATTAATGCATAAAAAAAGAAAATAACACACTTTTAAGAAATGATAAAACTATAAATTAGGAATAGAGAGGAACTTCCTTGGCTTGATAAATGGTCTCTGTATTGTTTGACACAGGACCATAGTAAATCTGTAATTAACATGCCTGAAGTGTATTCATATTAGTATACATCTTATTTAACATCTGTGAAACACTTTTCAAGAATCTTATATTCATTTAAAATATCTAGTTATAGTTGCTGTTTATTTTGTTATTCAAAAGTGACTGTTAAAGAAAAAAAGAAACTGTTTGTGTTGCTCCCTGCCTCCAATTTCTCTCCTCCCTCCTCTTAAGCCCAGTAAGATTTCTGCCCTTCTCATTCTACAGCGTGCTCACTGATGGCCGCTACAATGCAGAGTACAAACATTAATTCTAGATATTTTATACTACATGAACTATCAGCACCTTGACATAGCTGATCATTTCCTTCTCTTAAAACACTTTTCTTGACTTTGCTTCCAGGACACCCAATTCTCGTTTTCCTCTTATTTCACTGGCCCTCCTCAGTCTCTGTAGCTGGTTCTTACTCCACTCTCTGGCTTAACACTGGTATGCCCTGGACCACTTCTTTATCTACAGTCTGCACTAATTCCCTCGGTGATCTCATCCAACCTCATGACCCTAAAATGCTATTTATATGCTGAGGACTCCCAAATTTATATCCCTAGCTTGAACATTTCCCCTGAACAAGCTGAACCTGTATATCCAACTATGTATCAATATTTCTACTTGGATGTCTAATAGGTATGTCAAAAAATGTCCTAAACTGAGCTTCCAATCTCCCCATGTACCCTCTCCCAACAAAAATCTGTTCTTCAGACAATCTTCTCTATATTCATAAATGGCAACTCTGTCCTTCTAGCCGCTCAGGCTAAAAAGCCTTAAAGTCTTGTTTGTATCTCTCTTGCCATAAT